AAATAATGTCCTTCCGTGCCAGTACGGTATTTCTACTCTTTGGGATCGATGTTGAAGGTACGAGGTTATCCAACAAGGGCGATACCACGAATTCCATAAGAAGGTATTTTTTTTAGCAATATGTTATGGGCAATTACGTCAAAAGCTTTCGAAAGATCTAAAATATTCCAATGAGTGCTTCATTTGGACCATTGATGAAGCAACATCTTTAAAAAAAGAAAATGCAGTGTCCGTAGGTTTTGATTTTCTAAACCCGTGTTGAGTCCGAAAACGCATCGTTTTTCCTGAGAAAAGTTTCCATTCGCATATAGAAAAGCCTCTCTAATATTTTTGAGAGACCTGACAAAAGAGGAAATATCTGGAAATATTCCTGTGCATAAAGAAGCACTGAAAATCTGAGTTAACGTGTGCATAAAGGCAGGTACACAAGTTTTCAATAAACCGGAAATTCATCCTAACCAGATGAATATTAATTTTTCAGTTTACTGACTATTCTCATGATTTTGTTGGAAGAATTTTCGGAAATAAATATCTTGTCGCACATTTTTTTGGAAGGTAATGATGTTATATTTTGTGTTTTTTGTACCTTCTTGAGTACACCCGCAAATCTAGAAACGTGTTGATTGAAGATATTTGTGTTTTCCGGATTACTTGCTTCCCTTTCATTATCCTTTAAACAACATTCTCTAGGAAGTACCGAGATGATGTGGTCGTATTTTTTGCGGTATTCCACATTGCTTTAGTTTTGTTGCTTGCGTTCAAAATGCCTTCATTATGTTTCATTGTTATTAGGATTCGAGGCATCTGCCAGCTGTCTCCATGAATGGCCATTTCAGTGAAAATCCTCTTTACACTTGAATACTTATACGTAAACGGATTGTCGAAAATTACTTTCTTAGGTTCAAGATCACTCAAAACTTAATCATTTTAACAACTCTAGGTATAGAAAGTAATATATGAGCAAGAAACAATCCACAATTTTCCAATAAGCGACATACAAAACGAATTTTCTGTAGAAATTTCGAAACTTTCTCCATTACATAACTCTCTTTGCATAGTATACGTGAAGGTAAAACTTAGCGAACATTGTTTAGATTTGAACCCGCGACCTTCTAATCCACAATGCTGGCTTCACCACACTATGCTACTACAGATGTTCGCCGTCGCTGTGTCCGGGAGAACTTATTACGAAAACAATATTAACGGGATATGCATTGTGCTTAGGTTTTTATTTGAGAATGTGCTCCATGTGTCAAAGATTTCAAATTCACGGTAAGAATGCAGAGCAATTAAACACGTGCAACTACGTAGTTCATTTTATGTTCGAAATGTTTTCAATCAGAAACCGAGTCCTCTAGGCTTGCTTGTGCACCTTGTGCCAGGCGGTATCTGTCGGCGCCTTCCTTCAAAGCTGAAGCTACGTCATAAGACGTTGGGCGGGCAGGAATATTCGGTCTCAAATCCAGAATTGCAATGGCACGAAATTCATTCCAGATTCTTAAGCCAGCACATTAGCCACTACGTAAGTGGCGCGGCAAAAGCACTTACTTTCAGTGATATTTATTAAGGTTACGAATTATTACAACAAAATAATTAACCACAACCGTATTTTCTAACTGCAAAAAATATTTGTCACGGATGAGACTCGAACTTCAATGCGTGAGATTGTCCTGCACTCATTTTACTTTTTACACCATAAACACCCTGCATCACAAATGTAGCGTCGTAACAAAAATACACCTAAACTTTATCAATATTGAAATATCACAGGTTTGATTAAAACCCTCCTTACCCATATTATTTAACCAACTATGCTCGAAATGAGGGAAAACTTAAAGAATATGTTGACTGCTTAATTCGAAGTACCTTGTTTACATATTTTATAAATCGTCACAATTACGAAAAATGTGAAAAATACCCATTTTTGGAAAACATTGTTTACAACATTACTAACCTTTAATAACGCAGTAATGTTTTGTCACGTATCGGTGTAGTAATGTGCAAGAAGTTTGGCGCCATACTTGGAACTCAAGCATTTTGACAATTCTTTGAAGTTACTTAAGAGAAAAGAACATACGTTTCAAACGTCGCGCCTTCGAGATGGTTCGAATTTGCCCTGAAAACGCGCTCTCACAAGGAGCAAGGATTCATTCTGAATGAAGCTTTTAGAAACAAACTTTGAACTGCTTGCACAGTGGCCAAGAGATCGCGCCTGCTCCTGGGCGCCGAGCGGGCAGCATGGCACATTGCCAGCAAATTCTCGGAATCAAACGCCTTTCCAATGAGACGCGGCGAGATGGAATTGTTGTGAATCTAGAGCCGCGAGCAGTTTCGTAGCATTAAAAGTTGGATTTGTATGTTAGCAAGCATTCCTAGCACAATTCATTCTCCGTGCACCAGCGCCTTATAACGCCACAAATAATGAATGCAATCCGTAAGGAGAACCTTTATTTTCGTCCCGACAAACAACAATTTTTTTCAACACGTAATGACCCTCATATCAAGGTTCTAACCGTCTTGATTGCATGACTTCTTTTTTGAATCTCCTCTGCTCACGAAAACACGGAAAGGCGATGGACATGATTTTCTTGGTACAGTTTCTGCAAATGCTCTCCTAATCATCTAAGCAATATTTTGCAGTCTCAACAGCTGTTTTTGAGGCGGAGAACTTAAATCCAGTTTTATCACTCCGTCTCTTGCAATCGGTTAAGGACAAATTCAAGTCGCCTCTCGGTAATCTTATGCTCTTAGTAAAGCAAAAAATGGGAAAGTCGTCGACGAACAGCGATCCTTCGCAGGCTGACACTCGGAATTCATTCCATGACCGTTCCCAGGAATAGAATGCTCGACCCAAATCCGATTGAAGAGGCGCAGGGCAGAGGTATTGACGCGCCTCTCCGATCGATGCTTCACCTTTGCACTACAAGTCTCGTCTCGTAGTGAGACGCCGATTCCTCAACAACTCGACTCTCGATAGGCGAGACTTCCATTCACCGGCAACCCTCCGACAGTCAGTGGGAGAAGTATTCCTTTGATTAGGACGGGTACGGGATGAAAGTGAGGAAATCAACGGTCTCCCGGAATACAGCCCTGGATCGGATTCTTTTACATCTGATCAAAGTAGGGAAATGGTCACCCGGAAGTCGTCGACAACAGTCCACACAGAGGGGCTCCAGAGCGCCAGATCGACAGACGAGAAAGTGTTCCAAGCCACGGACACGTGAGTGGAATTACCAGAATTCAGACGAATTAGGTCGGGTTGGTCAATATTATTTTCGAGAAAAGTACCTCCCGGAGAGGACCTCGTGCCACTTCAGGTGCGACGGTCGCCATTAAATTCATCCACAATAAAAGGCGTGGGCAGCTGGAAAATAACATCTTCAAGTTCTTGTAATACGGACTAGGTGGAATTCCAGGTGGAATATACATATTGCGGCCCGTTAATGAAAGGAATGATAGGCTCAACCTCTGCACGCGGACTGGAGGTATTGACTGGAAGTATGGACTGGAGTTCGAAAGGTTTTCCTCGAACAAGGACACTTCCTTGAGCGCGAAACTCGTCATCTTGGCCGAACTAAGGCCAAAATTGAGGGGGTAAGTTGGGGAAGAAGATGAATTTCCTGCAAAAGCAATTCTTTTGAACTTAAGCGCACTTACATTCCATGACAGCCCTCGTGTAAATCCAAACGCTATCTTCTTCTCCTTCTTCCTCGCTTTTGAAAAGAGCACTCGCGTGCAGTTCTTCGCCCATCGCAGTCATCCTGACTGCGACCGGTGTCCTTTTCCCCGTACGGTGCCCTCGCTATACAAGGTCCTCTTGGACCAGATTTCTTCATCGGCACACGCATTTGTGCACACTTTGCAGTGAAGGTCGTCATATCATGCTTCGTTACCGAAGAAACAATTCAGTTGGTTCGGTCACATCTTCAGGGGAGACTTGCACATGCAGCGTCCTACGTCCAGTAGTTTTCTTCCTTTGGTTGGCAACTCGGGGTAATTTATACAGCCGCAGTGCTGGCAAAGCTCCTGCAAAGTCACCGGGTTTCTCACCAATTAGCAACGTCGCACGGCGTCGGAAGGACGCTTTTGCGGATATTCAAATTTCCTGGATCTGCCCTTTTAGATATGCGAGACATTTTGTTTGTTGGAGTTCGATGTATAATCGGAGCAGTTTACGTTTGGATTCGCGAGAATCTTTTCCGCAATTCACAATCGCCCTGCCCGCGCGATGGATACGGTCGTGCCTCTCACACTTAAGCAGCAAAGAGGATCCGGGACATACCGTCGCAATTGTGGAACCCGCACGAGGCCTCCGGAGGTCAACCGAGAGGATCCGAGTTGACGTGCCCTCGTCCAGAAGCTGAGGGCTTCGTGATGAATAGAGCGCCAGCAAAGGAAATAGAAAACAAATAGACCCCTCAGCCTCTGGCTCCTTCGGAAATGGCTTGCCATGCACGGCAAATACGCGGGCATCCAGAAGAAACAACGACGGATAAAAGAGTGAAGGCGATGTATGATATGGAGAACAAGAGGATAGATGATGGGGAAAGGAACATGGACCCGTCCACCACGAGGGGCAACACCAAACAAGTAAGACACTTTTCACAAATGAATTGCGTTGCAATTACGACATGGACACTTGTCCTGAAAATGTCTGAACTGCATCATGATAATAGAATGCTACATCAACAAATTACCTAATAAATATAATAACTATTTCAACTTTAACACATCCATTGAGCAATCAACAACAGTGTACATTAAAACTGTTTACAAAACTGGACTAAATGGTAAAACTGGTTTGATATTGTCTTGAATCATACATCACAATTCTTTGACTATCACAACCACAAAACTTCTCAATGGTCTTCATAAACATTTGTACTGAAACTGCATCAAAAAATAATTTTGAATGTAATGCATCAGTATCAATGCAATATTATTAAAAAATGTTCAAAAAACTTTAAACTTTAAAATTAAATTTGAATACATTAACTTACCATCTGTGAGGCCACACTATATGTAAAATGTCTTCATTTTTAATAGCTAACTCAACAGGAAACTTTACTGGCACATATAAGACATCACATTTATGTAATAATCTCTCTTTTAAGTTTTTTGGCCTAAAATCTGGTTGTAATTTAAAAAACTTGTTTATGGTGTTTAAAAATGACATCATATTATAATTTGAATTGAACACCACTTTATCAGCAACAAGACTGAAAGGAAGATCACAAAATAATAATAATAATAATAATAATAATAATAATAATAATAATAATAATAATAAAACTATCAAGAGACAGCAAAATTGGATTCTCTAGACTATCTGGTATTACACATAAAAAGAGGGAGGGGGAGAGTGGGGGGGGGGAGAGAAACCTTTTCCACATTTGCTACTCTCACATGTTTATTCATCTAAGTCCTCCAATAACCAGGGTTCTTGAGACCCATGAATCCGCTTTAACTAGAACATGAAAGCAATAATGTTGAATAACAGAAGGGAATTGGTAGAATAACAGGCAAGGAAAACAGGAGTACCATGAGAAAATATGGTGAAAACTAGCTTTGTCCACTGCAAATTCCTCATGAATTGAACTTGTGTGCCATCATTAGAAAATCTAATGATTTTTAATATTGACAATTATCATATGAAATGCTACCCAATATTTTTAAAATTATAACAAGGTCTTTTCACAATAATGGATCCCTTATAAATGTTTGGAAAATATCCTAATAAGGATCGAAACATTAAAAAAAACAAACAAATTATTGAAAAATAGTGTTTGTTTTGAACAATGTCCGAATACTTTTAACAACAACATGATAACAGATAATCACATATTTCTTAAGAAAGCTTATACACATGCTACTCCAGGAGTCCCCTCTATTCTCTTATGGAATGATTTGATAGAACAAGCAATATAAAACAAACTTAAATTACACATTACAACAGGTTAATTTTCATGAGGTGTAGAAAAATCTTTCAGTATGCAGAGCACAAGTGATATTTTTTAGATAAATGGTACTTCATGTGGAATGCAGATACATACCAGCATGGCATTAAAAAATGAAAGTGGAAGTTTTTGTATTTACCCTTCTAATATTGGATCAGTGAACACAAGAAAAAAGAACCAGAGAGAAGCTATGAACAATTTTTCTCAGAAAAGTGGATCCAACAAACCACTTTTGCATGGTTGGTTAAATTTTATTGAAAATCTTGATCTATAAAGAAGTCAGGAAGTGGGCTAAGTTCAATAATCGAAAAGGCTGGTAAATTCAAAAGATTTTTTGGATACTGCTTCATATACTAACACTTATTTGTTATAGTTGTTAAGTTATCCATCAAATACACTAATTTCAAAATAATAATGATAATAAGGGAGCGAAGTTTTGATTTTGCATATTTTTGACAAGCAATGCAGGGTACGCCATATTACATGAAAATGAGCCAACTCAATTATGCTCTTAGAATAACGACAAGGAACATCATCATTGAAACAATTCAAAGAGAGTTCTTAGCAAATATTCGCTTAAATCCTCGAATGTAGAATAATAGCCTAGGGCCAAGAAACCCTAAGAAAACAAAAGAGAATTTCTGGGGAATAACAAAGACAAAACTCCCAGTGGGCCCCAATTCAAAAAAGAACACTTTCAGAACCTTCAACATTCAGATACGTCCTTCTGTTTGTAAAGAATATAACGACACACCTTACAAATTTAAATCATGTTGATGGTCATACAACACATGACAAGCATACAATCTTCATCAACCACTGCATACCAATACATACTCTTTGGCAATAATTCTTCAAACAACTATCAGAACATTACATGATTACACAGCCTCAAAATAAACTCGAACACTTTCTCCTACAAAAACCTTCCTATAGTGTTCAGATATTTGTCAACAACTAACGTGTGCACCTGATTACAATTCAGCAGCCGTGAAGGTGCAACTGATTGCAAGTTACTCTTCACTCATGCCTGCATAAGGTCAAACTCACCACTATCCACTAGACATTAACAACATTAATCTTCTACATTTCATCATCTGGGCACAGGTGGAAGTTTACCAAATACGTAGGAATACATTTCCCATTTCTTGGGAACTCAAATGGGCAGAGCAACTGGGGATATACTAGGTGGCCGGGTTCAATTTCTGTCAGGGGCAGTCAATTCTTTGAACAGTTAAAATGTTAATACTGTTTTTATTCTTATTACTGTTATTGCTAGATCACAGATTTAAATTTTTCAAGGACATTTAAATGGTGCCTCTTAATTAATGCAAATAATGGAGAAGAAATAGAACTATTATGGTATATGTCAAAAATTAAAACCTACTTTAACCAAACAAACATTTTTCAGATATAAACACCTAAAAGGTTTGTTTTCCTTCAAGAAATTGCTACTAATTGATAAAAATGCTGATCGCCACATCAATGTAAAATGTTAATGGTTACTGACCACTATTAATGGAAAAATATGATCTGGCGCTTAAGTAATTAGTCACCATGTGGGTCTCCAGTACATAAAATTTCCCAGCTTGATTCCATATCTCTGGTAATTTTGTTCAAAATTACCTTTATTCAATAATCTAACTGAATGCAGATTTAAGAAATTGTGAATATCTTTGAGGTACCTAGTAATCCAGATACTATAGAAAATGGAATAATAAATACAAACCATGATAAGATTTGATTGTATCCATATTGGAAGTCTCTTTCTTTGACATGTTGAATGGGATATACAAGCTGATTTTCGTGAAAATATAATATTTTTCGGCAACGAGTTAAATCTGGCCTCAATGCAATAAACTCAGCTAAATTTAGAACACTGCTTGCGAAAATGACACTAAAACAGAAGAACAATTCATATGAAAATAAACATGATAAAATGTACCAATAAAATCTTTAAAGAACACATTAATCAAAGAAAACAGACAAATTGAAATATTTAAAAGCCTGATATTTCAGCCAAAAATTAACTTACTCAAACTGAACATCCCTTGGCACAGCATCATAAAAATATAATGCACTAGTACGAGCACGCCAATGCCACTTCTTATCAGGTAAAACGTACAGTGATATTTTACAATTTTTGAGACCTACAATTTAAAAAAAATATTTTTTTGGGCATTTCCTGACATTCAATTACAAAATTCATTTAATTCACAGGTATTATAGAATGAAAAAAAGTAATTATAAAATGCAATGCTCTTACCTTCAAGTAATGTATCAATGAACTGTTTGTGTGACCCACCGTACAAAGGCTCTATTATTAAGATATGCGATTCTGGAGAATATACCGTTGATATTTTGTTATCCGCGTTTTCAGAACTCTTCCATAACTCCATACTTACATATCATACGACTACTTATATTTCTGTTATTTACTTACACCTCCAAAATATTGTTCATAGCTTGCAATTACATTTATTTTATTCATTTATTTAGTCAGAGGCAATTTGACTCCTTAATCAGGAAGCTTACTCATTCAGAAATGAAATACTGCCTTTTGCCCCTACAAATGATTAAAGCTGAACAATAATATTAATTGCATATATTACATATACACACTTCACTGAACCAAAATTGATTGAAATGTTGTATATCAGAAACACAAGTCTTTCTATTCCTTTTTATTATCTTTTAAGAAAATCATAACTTTGATGAAAAACGCGAGTGACAAAACCTCAATAATTCATTAAAAAAGGGAAAATATAACAAATGCGTATAGACGAAGAAATTAATTAGCACCGACCTCCGAATCCCAATCACTAAATTTTAACGACCAGATATACATAGTGAAATCAATCATTTTTGCCTTATAACATACGAAGTTAACATTTATTGCTAAAAACATAATTATATGGTTCAAGAGGAACAATTCCGATTCTTAACCTGTAACCCCCAACACAGAAAAAGTCAAATAGACACCGTCCCCCGCCAGGCGCTAAGAAGCATGATGCAAGGAGAATGCAAAGAACCAATGAAGAACGGATGAGGTTCGTCTTAGACATAGTATTCTGCACTCACAAGGCTGGCATGCCAGATTACGTAGTGGTGGTGGAGTCCACAGAGAAATATCCCCTCTAATATTTGTTATTTACGATAATATTTGCTTTCTTTCAGTTTATTTAGGTTCTGACTGCGAATTTCGTCGACAAATTGGTTTTCATAAAGCACTACTTTACCAAGACAGGTCAAGTTCCTACCTTTTCCTTTTAAAAATGGTTCGAAGTAAATATTATGATGACATTAGATGCTAAAGTACTGCTTTATAACAAAATGAAATGTATGAAACATTTACTTCCACGTGCCCTTTTATCGGTTATGAAAAGTCCCAACGAATTTCGAGCCCTAGCGTAGAACTGACTCCTACCGCTCTAAACTATCGGTTTTTAAAATATTTATTGCTCGAAAGCAATACTACTTGCTTCAAACTTTAATAATAGGAAATAGTCCAGAATTTTCATAAACACAGTCCCAAAAATGTTCGTAATTTTTCACGAAGGGGAGGAAATTTCAGCACTAAGTTAACCAGAATTTAATACACTTTAACTATTCATTTTTCAACGTAATTAGTATTAATTGTAATACATTTATGGTTATTTAAAAATATAAATAATATTGCACTTTTTTAGTATATGTAAATTTTTTTGCAGTTTCCTTTGCTGAATTTAAATTTTGATGGTTAAAATTCAATATTCAAGTCACGCACGTACAATATCACTTTTTTATGAAAATTATTTTCAATATCTATGCTGGGCAAGTTTTAATGAACATTTTATTCCATTTCTGATGATTCCATAGGCCTTCAATTGTAACACGACTTGATATCCCTGGTGGCAGAAGAAAACAGTTGATTGGGTGACTACGGAATATTTGGACTTAGCCATAGCGCTATTGCGGCTTTGAAGAAGATGGCTTAGCTTTTACACAAATAAAGTCGTGAAGATCCACGAAATTTTTGTGGCTCGTGCCTATTATGATGCTGTGTTTGTACAACACGTTCAGGCATGTGAGTAATGTAAGTAAATGGCAACTTATTTATTGAGAGCTATAGTCCTTTAGTACAGATCATTTTAAAGCCTGCCGTCACTTCTGTCAAATACTCCACTCGTGATCGGTACCGCGAAAGCTAGACCCAACATAGTAGCGGAGACAAACCTTCTTTAGAGGGACAATGCTTCGCCGACGACGCAACCGCAACCGCCAGCGCCTGCGACAACTGCCATTGTTGCCAGTACGCCTCCACCATACGCAGAAACGACTGGCGAGTCTACTGAAAGATCGACCACTTAAAGACATGCTGCTGAATGACCCCCTCGTGTGGACCCCAGCGGGCGAAAGGGCTTGTAAGGATCTTAAGGATGCGCTGACCTCGCCCCAGATACTCATGCAGTATGACCCGTCATTGCCACTCTTATTGGCAACCGACGCCAGCAAAACTGGACTGGGCGCAGAACTGTCACACCGACTCAGCAGAGGTCGAGAACGCCCCATCGTTTATGCCAGTCGAACAATGTCAGCAACTGAACAGAGCTATCCTCAAATTGACAAAGAAGCACTGGCAATTGTATGGGCAGCACAAACGTTCTTCAAATATCTGTACGTCCGCCGCTTCACATTGATAACTGACCATAAACCGCCGACACAGATCTTTCACCCAGAAAAGTATTTACCAGTGCTGTGCATCAGTCGCATGACCAATTATGCGGAATATTTAGCACACTTTGACTATGACATTCTCTTCAAGAAGTCAAAAGTCAATGCAAATACCAATTACTGCTCTCGAGCACCGCTTCCATCCCCCATCCACTCCATTAGGAACTCAATTCCGCTTCAGAGGGAAGAGGCGGAGGATTTCAATGATTTTGATATTTTGCAGTTCATCAGACGCAGCAACTACCTGTTAGGTCAGAAGCCATTACACATAAGACCAGACGAGACCGTCATCTCGGCACGATCGTCAAACTCTGCGGCTGCAACAACTGCTCTGATGGACGATCTATTCACAGCCCATGGAAGCCCCGTAACTGTCGTCTTAGACAAAAGGCAAACAGTTCATTGCCGAAGAATTCAAAGAATTTCTGAAGAGCAGTAGTGTGAAGTATCACAAGCTAACAGCACCATATCACCCATCAACTAATGGCCAAGCAAACCTTACGTTCAAACTGTGAAGGACGCACTTAATGCAATGAAGACTACCAAGGGATCCCTGCGACCTAACCTGAACGAGCTCCTTCGCCAATTTCGAAAAGCTCCACACTCCACCACTGGTCAGACTTCAGCTCAACTGTTCTTGGGCCGAAAACTACGCACACGGCACAATCTGTTGAGGGCGGACGATGTTCACACCAGGGTAAGCGAAAAACAACGGACCGAAATGGAGTCGACTTTCCGCACACTGGAAATAGGACAACAAGTTTACTTCTTGTCCGGCAATCCTAGCCTGGATAAATTGGTTCCAGACAGACAGACAGTCCAGACAGTTACCATCTAAACAAATACTTTGATATAATTCAAAGTTTCGTGAATGCACAAGACATTCAAATTTAAAATACTTATTTTTTCAAATATATCCATTTATAAGATAAAAATTACTGTTTTTGAAACATCTTTAACTCTGAAAATAATATATATTAATTTAGACGATTATATGACATTTTAATAAAAATATTCTATATAAACTGAGATGAATCGAATGCAGCAGTAAGATTACTTAAGCGTAATAATATTACACGATGTCGTAGAATGAAGAAACGAGATATTATTAAAATTTTAAACGTGCATCAATACAAAAATATTAAATTTTCATTATATATTTCTATATGATAATTTACCTGGATATTGAATAATTGATTATAAAGTTAAAGGAGCGTGGAATAATAGAATTTTCGATTGATGATTTAGTTTAAACAATAATCACTGTGATTTGGAATATTATTTAAAAGAACAGCAACAGTTTTTGAATTAAAAATTATATAAAAGCATTATGGTCAAATTCATATCGCAATATTGGATAAGTACAATATGTAGAATTACAATTACCTGGAGAAAATAAACATATTTAAACACCTTTTTCAATCTCATCAATATACTATTCACGATCAACAATCATTATCTGAAGAGATTTAAAACATGATTCAAGAGATTACGTTTTAATTTCATAATTATAATGCAAAATTACTACAAATCGATTTGATAAATATCGCATGTTGATGTACAATGTGACAGGTATGCTGCTTTAAAAGTTGGTCCACTACCAAATTTGCATTCCACTACCAAATTGCGTAAAACTTTAAAAATGTATAAACGTAGAAAATAACAAAAGCAAATTAGTTCAATTTTGAATAAGAAGAAGATTATATATGATTTGAATATGCTTTTGAAAGTATATTATTTTCAGAATCTCATCATGTTTATATACCTAATCTATATGATATTTTAAAATATGAATCTTTAATCGTGCAATATTTTGTAGATATTACAACATCAAACATCAAAATACATGATGAATTTTGAAAAAGTATATATTAATGTAAAACAAATTATTGATTCTTGTATCGAATTAATTAATCATACAGACAATTATAAAAAATAGAAAATAATATTTATATATTAACGTTTAATGATTATAATGTACGTATAAAAATATGAGTGCATTATTAAAAGGTCAAATCCATTGGAAAATTGGATAAAATCCATTGAAATGTCATTACTGTTTTAAGTATAATAACAATGAAGATATTGAAGGGGATTTACATGATTATATTGATCAATGTGTTCATGACAAAATGTGTATTAATATTCCTAAAAAATTTATAAGAGTGTATAAATATTTTGGTGCTGAGCAATTTCATCTTTATATCGTAATATGTGATTTTAATTACAGTAAAAAGTCATCAACAAAAAATTATGAATTCATAATATATTAAGTATATTCGACCTAATAGTCTGATTTACATCTCATTTCACACCTGAATATGTAGATGAATATGATTATTATGAATTAGTTAAATAATATTTAAAACAAGTTGAAAATTTAATGAATTAATGTACAAATGTAATGAAGAACGTATAATAATGGTCCAATATTGTGCAAAAAAATTTGCATCAAAAGATTAAATTACAATAGATAAAGAAAATTAGTAAATATGATTATGAAAATGCAATATCATGTAATATTTGTATTATAAATATTAAAAAACATCAAGAAAGTGGTTGATCATGATTATATTACTAGTGAAGAAAGAGGTGCCGCGTGCAATGCATGAAATTTACATTTACATCTAATTACGTCATTATGCATAATTTACTCCAATCCTATTTCATAATTTAAAATATAATTCTATATTATTTTTACGAACGATAATTATACTTTGCGAAAATTATTCAAAATTAATGAATATTCTAAACACATAAGAAAAATATTTAACATTCTCAAAACAATTGTAGGTCAATATCCTATGTTATGTCTTATGTGGATTTGTAATAAACGTAAAATGATATTATATATTTGGGGGGGGGGCATGCTGTGTCCAAGGAGAACAAATAATACCAAAAGAATCTTTTATGGGTTATATTATTGAGTTTTTGGTTTATTGATACATATAGGGCCGGTTTCACCAACCAGGATCAAATTCGTAGTTGATCCGAGTTTCGTGATCCTGATCCGCGGAGTCAAGGCCGACTTGATCCCTGTGCGTTTCACCAACATTTTGAGACATCGAAGTTAATCCGGATCCCATGATTCGTGAGCAGTCGTGAAAATGCGCGGTTGGCAACAATTTTGCAATGCATTGTGGGTATTCTCGCGGTCAGCTGTAGAAAACGAGTTGTTTTGATTTCATTTCGTTCCGTCTGTGTGGTGTTCTTGTTCGATGATGGATTCACCTGACGTTGGAAATAATGCATAGACTACGCCCAATTTCTCTCCAGTTAAATGAGAATTACTCGAAAGCTTAATGAGTAAATACAAAGAAAGTTTTAATGCTCGTTCTCCCATTTCAAAATAATCGCTTCTTT